CACACAGCTGGGATGCGAACATTTGTCGCAGTTCCTGGGATTCTTCGGCCGTCGACCATCCACACACAGAGCCTTAGAATAAGATATACGAATAATGGCTGAGCTCCCTTATTTTCTTTTAAAATATAAAAAAGACTGGTTATAGTAATCGTTATGAAATCTTCCTCACGAACATGGAAGTTGTAATGTTCGTGTTGAGCGCCACAAGCCATACATACAAATACTCTTTTTAGAAGATGTAATTCTGTACTTAGTTCCTGTTAAACTACCTATTTATTAATATTTTTCAAGATAATTGCCGGACAAATATAAGCGCCGAAAAATGGTCTGTTACTTAGTCCTAAGTAAAAGTGCTCTACGTAATGCGAAAAAATGTCTCAGGAGAGAAAAAGTGAGGTTGTTTTATGCATGGAACAAGGTACCGTTTTTTGCAATTGCCACTGCTGAAAGACAACTGAAGTACTATTCACACAGGTCAATCTAATCATTTAACTGCGGCTTTTTGAGTATATTGTGTCGCATCCTCGCTCAGCCTGTTATCACACTCTTTGAGAGTGTGCATTTGACCGACTGACGTGTACGCAAGGGAGACCAAAACGATAATAATTTCGAATGATCTCCTGATCGCATTTGGTTTTTATTGACTCACTCCGCGTTGACGCCCGCGTGTGGACGCTCACTGCTGCTAGCAAGTGTGCATGCACATGTGTGTCTGCCTACCCCGGTCTGGTCAATCACCCTTAAGGCGGACTCACACAAAGACCGCCCTTGATAGACTCTGTGACGACTGCCCGGCTGAGACGATATAGCGCCGACATACGATTCCGCCCAATTCGTGGGTACTATTGGGCAGTCATTGTTCCCTATTGGTTTTACTTCTAATTTTAATCACTATGCCGAAACGGGCCAAGTTATAGGCACAATACAATTTGGAAGCGTGTAAACGAGCGAAGAGGATTTAATTCTGGGCTGTTGATGCATAAGAGGACGTGTAGCAGGAATCCATAACCAGAAACTAACCCTAATCATTTTCTTAACTCAAAACCTTAAACTCACGATAACTCTAGCGATCACCCAAGCCATAATCCTAATCCCAACTCGAGTACTCACCCTTACCCCAAATTTAACAACAATCCCAGCTCCAATCTTAAACCAAACCCTAAATCTAACCCTAACGCTATATCTTAACCACAAATGCCAATCCTAAGTCATAAGTCGTACATAAAATTCGAACACTCCTGACAGCAAAATCTGGCCGTTAGCCCTCCAACCTTCTTCTGGACCCAAATGTCCCACTACAGATAGAGATTCATGCAACCTAAGTACTTACATCTAATTAGCAGACATGTCGTTTTAATAATAAATATTGGTTGCAATGCAGATATCGCTCTGAGTAGTATAAATTTCTTACTTGTTAATTTTCTTCATTTTAAACGTCGCTCGCATCTGCATCAGGGATAATTCATTGAAGGGTATGTTGTCAGAGTAGTGGAGGTTCCGTTTGACCCTTCTCCCAAAGTCTGCTCTGACGTGTGATGCATACATGCACCAATTCACCAGGCAGTCTGACGCTCTTAGGCCTTCGATTGCGTCTGACCAATCCCTGCCACCAAAAGGTCAGAGATGATGTTCAGCCAATCACAGCTCTCTCCAAAAAGACCAATAGATTCCGAGGCCTGCAGTAAACTCGGCTGTCTATCTTGGTGAGACACCAAAGTTAAACCCTGCATGTCCGGCTACTAGTTTATGCCAATCAATTCTCGGTTCAATCTGCGCAAAACCCTTTCTACTGGGATCTCAAGTTGGTTTTTCCACTCCCTCTCTCTCTCTCCTTGGGGTCCGGTGTGGAGTTGGGACGTCAGTTGCCGTGACAGACTCACCTGAACGAGCACATCTTCCTTTCCTGCCAGTACATCTGTAAGATCGGGTAGGGTGATGGTAGACTCTTCGGTGCGGTTAGCACCGGCACCAAGGCGTAGATTCTTGAGGTGGCGTGTGGACAGCCTTTGGTAGGAGAGGGCGCCAAATGGTGAGTTTGTGACTATTTCTCTGCCTCCGGAAACCAGGAGGGGCTGCAGAGTGCCGGCCGTGGCTTCATGTAGTTTCTGCAAGCCCATAGTGAGGAGCGTTGACTA